TTTTCTGTCTTGCCATGTGCTCTTGCAGAAATAAATTTAGCTCTGTCCTGGTCTTCAGAGTGAGTTGTAATACATCATGGGCTTTGACAATTCACCTTTCAGTTGGGGAAGAGCACAATCAATCTGAATTTAGATGGGCTAATAAAACAGTGCAATATCCTGGGATAAATATACTGTCAGATGTAAACAAAACTTATGAGGTGAATAACCTCAGCCTCAGAATGCACTAGTAAAATGGAAAGGCCTCTGCATGGTACAGTGAAACAAAAATGAATGTCCTTCTAAGTATGATTTATTTGCTTATCTACTTTTAATAATTGTCTGGATTAGATAGAACAGGTAGTTAGTGCCTTCATCTGAGACCTTGAGCTCCTGAGTAAGAAGGGAGATGTTAACATGGTGATGCATTTACCAGGACCAAGAAGGCTGTGGCCCTTGTTTAGTGTCATTTTGTGCTGTGTGTGTTCATTTGGGGGTGAATGTGGTCATGATCACACACTGTCCCACTTGTCTTCTCCATGCTCCAGATCTGAGCTGCTCTCTTCAGAGAATGGAGATAGGCTGACTGACATTAGATTACATTCCTGAATGTCATATGGAGCAGATCTATGTCAGCAGAGCCGACTGTGCAGACAGCTCCCTGCCTTATTCCTGAAGGTCTCAGATATGGGCAGGAATCAGACTCAGAACTAGAGAGGTTTTTCTGACACAGGCAGCCTATTGTTACCTTAACTGCTTTCCTTGGGTGTGGGGTCTCACAGCCATTTCCTCTCCATTATCCCAGTCTGGATGTATGACTGCTGTGTGATAGGGGAAGGCATCTGTAAAAGGCAGTAGGCTGTCCTAGCGGGCTTGGTTGCTGAGACCAGTTTTCTGTTTACCTCTTTCAGCTGTACCATTTGCAATGCAGTAGCCAGGACTACTGGGGGAGGAGAGGAAAGGTACTGCTGACATAATACATGTTGAGATGATCATATTATGTCAACACTACCAGGCATTTTCTGCCTGATCTTTATGGAACTGCATCTGTACACCCTGTGCAGTTGAATTTAATGTTAAACACCTTAATGACAAAAGTATGCCCAAATTAAGGCTACTGGTAGTGGGATTCAGCTTGGACACTCCAGACAGAGCTCTGTAGTCAAGAAGCAGGCTCGTGGGCTGAATGCTGTGTACATGACTCTTCCATTTTTCTGTGATTGAGTGATTGCCTGTCTGGTTTGTGTATGTTTCATGCAGTTTAGCTGTTATGTTGCTACTGCAGATACAAGGCTGGCAGCCCTTTGAAAATGAGTAACTATGGACTGACTCATAAGCTTGATTTTAGGTAAGCATCTTTAATATGCAACCTGATTTTTCAAAACAACAAGGAGAGCAGAAGTGCCAGAGGCTCTGTGCTCTTGGAAACAGGGCCCTGGCTTTAGGATCTCACTTGTCTAAAACCTTGACCTTAAATGTATGTTACCCCTACACTTGTGTGCTGGATGGGAGTTACATAGCCAAATACATTCTTTACACGGGATATTACTCAGAGGTGCCTATCAGATGAGAGTCTGTGTGCTTTATTCAGTTCTCTATTTAATCAGGACATACTTAATCTGAACGGTGTTTTATTAGGCTGTTTCCCAAGGCACCAGATTAGCATAATGGTATTAAATAGCAGTGACTTCTGCCTAATCAGGGCAGAAAGGTAACGTGTGTGCTTCTTCCCTCGCAGGACCTGGTCTGCTCAAGCTCTGTGGAGGTGGCTTGGAAGGTGTTGATGACTCTAAGGACCTTCCTGGAAAGAAACGAGGATGTCCTTGTTTGTGACCTCCTCCGGAGTCAGTTCCTACAGATTCTGCAGCAGCTGCTGGTAGAGAGCAGCTCAGCCTCCTTACAAGGTGACTCCCCTCTGTGACTTGGTCTTGCTGTAAGATCAACTAGCAGGGTAGATGGCTGAAGGGATGCAGTCTGGGATAAAGTGTTTTTGAACTGCTGATGTAGCCTCAGTACTTATCTGCATGAGGAAATTTACGGACAGAACTGTGCTGATTTACTTTCCTTTTCCAGAGATGCTTGTTTTGAAGTGAGAGTGAGAGACTCTTTCTTATTTAGGTTGTTTGCGCTTCAAACTGCGATTGTTAAACCAAGGCAAGGTTTTCTTATACTGTCCTAAGTGTTCAAGTGGAGAGCTGTGCTGGTAAATCTCCCAGCTTGAACAGGGTCTCAGCTGGTGACTGAAAGACATCCTCCTTTTTGCCTCTTCTCTGTGCAAAAAAACTTGGTGTACCTGAGTATGCTGAGTTCCCAGGGCCCAGGGACTGGGAGCAGAGACTGTTCAAATTATTTATGATATTGATCTCCAAACAGGAGCTGTGGTATCACTAGATCTCATAATTCTATTAAATCTGTCAAAGATTTAGCAGGATTTTAGCAGGTCTGCTAAATGTCAAAGATTTAGCAGACTGGAGGAAATCCCTCTGTTTTCCTTACTAGCCCTGGCTGTGGAGTTGGGACTGTTGTCCCATCATGAATGGTGCTGTGCAAAGCAGTCTGTGAGCTTGAACTAAAAAAGGGAGCAGTGCTATGATGTCCTTGGCTCCCCTGGGATAGGGGCCCAACACAGCTTTTGCTTGTTCCTGAGGGGGCCGCTGATACTTGTAACAGCCCTGCTCTGTTTGGGGTAGCCTGCTGTGCAGCAGTGGAATGGAAGCAACAAGAGGGAAAGTGTTTTTGCCTTACCTCCAGCAAAGTCAGTAGGCTGGAGAAGAGGGGAGTTGAAAGCAGGAGCATGGTGGAGCATGAGGCTACAAGGTTATGGATAAAGAAGGCAATGTTGGCATCTGCCAGATCTGATGTCCTTTGGAATTGCGCACATTTGGAGTTGTGGTGTCCCTCTTTCACTGATCTGTGGGTGCCAGGGGCTGTGGGGAGGTAGATTGTCCGTTTCCTGTTGCAGGAGTCAGACCTATTCCTCCAAACCATTGGTGACGGAGACAGGACACTGGGCTAGAGGGGCTTTTGCAAGATTAGAGCCTTTCCGCTGTGTCTAATATCCCTAGCTCCTCTTCATACTACATCTTGAACTCGTTAGCTGAGTTACTGGCAGCCTCATCCAGAAAGTCAAACGCCAGATGTACTCTGGAGACACGACTTCCTTGTCTCCCAGCACACAGGCAGCTCTCTGTGAGGTCTGGGGCAGATAAGTCCAGGGGATCTGCATCCCTGTTCAAACAGCAGCCTTCTCTTACACATCAAGAAGGCCCAACAGTGGGACTCCATTAAGAATATTTTAACATTAAAGACACCTGTAAATGTTTCCTCCTCAAAACTGAAAACTCCTGAGCCTTTGTGAAGACATTTTCCGGAGGCGATAGTTGCTTGCTGTAGGTATGGCTATATACAATGCAAAATCTTTACCTCTTTACAGTGCTGCAGAATAGTGAATATACTAGGGAAGGGGTTGCCCTAGGGAGTTGGTGGCCTGAGCAGCTCCATTCTCCTCCTGTACAGACCTGTCGTGTGGGGCTCTCACCTCTACTGTCTCTGCTCTGCCCTGTGGCTGGGATGGACAGCATTTTCCAGCCTCACAAGGTGCTGGAGAACAAATGCTGTGCAGCTGAGCGCTCTGAGGTGCTGGGCTGCTGTCAAAGCATGGGCTGCCAGCGATGGTCAAGTAGATGGTAAGAGGGCAGTTTGCAAAGGGCTGGTGACTTCTAGCTTATTGGAGGTGTCAGTCTGAATGTGCAGTGACAGCGCCCCTTGCATGGTTCACCAGGGGTGTAAAAGACCCTCGCCTCATTTTCCCCCCTCTTTTCTAGTTGTTCCTAGAACGGTGTTGGCAGGATCCAGTGTGTAACTCAGGCCAACCTACAGTGGCAGGAAGGGGGTCTGATCCAGAGGGGACTGTAGAGATGAGAATTAAGTTGGGAGCATGCGCGTGTGTGTGTGTGTGTGTAAAGGGGGAATACTTCCTTCCCTAACCCACCCTCATTCCTGAGCCAGAAAATTAACAATTCTTGGCACGCTTTAAGGTACAACAGTTAGAGTTCACTGACAAGCTAAGCTGTCTGCCCCCCTTTTAGCTAGCAGGAACCTGCCTGTTTTGCTGAGCCTCCTTTTCCTGGTGCAGCTGCGGAGCGAGGGTGTGAGGGAGCTGGACAGCATAGACTTCAAGCTGCTTCACCAGGGTGAGTCTGGACATCCATCTTGTCCCACAGGGCTTTGATCTGTGTTTGTTAATTGTTCCGTAAGATGATTAGGGGTTGGCTCTTTGTCCTTTGAGAGAAGGTGTACATTGCATTACAGTTATGGTTGCTTTGGAATACTTATATAGCTAGAGCATTGTAAAGAGCCCTGGTTACCAGTTCAGTCAACAAAACCCAGGTTCTCTGCCTCTTGCTTTTACATTTGTTGTCTGAAACCTAACAAGGTGGCCAAAGTATTCTCCTGGCCTTGACATGATTTCAGGGTCTGTGACTGTCGTTGACTTGGCACATGACAGCATTGCTGATGTGCTTCCTGAAACATCCTTCCCCATCGACACTTGCTAACACACTCCTGTGGGGTTCAGGCCACAGGGGTGTCCTGTGAACCAGCCATCGGGGACTATCAGCCTAGTGAACCTGGGCTCTCCCTGGAGTGTAAGTCCAGAGTATATGGGTCCCAACCAGCTGCAGGATTTGCCTGCTCCACCACAGAGACATAGGAGAGCAGGCTGTGTTTGTTTACTCACCACACCGTGACCTGCTCTTTTGTCTGGTGATCCTTGGTGACTTCTCATGTCTTACTTGGCTATTGGAGGTTCATGCAGGCTGTGAAAACAATAAAATAGATACTAGAGGGAAGGTCAGCTGATCCATCCTCTCATCTCTTCCCTGCTCTCACAAGTCTCTCCAGCAGACTTTGAAGGACTATCCCCTTCAATGTGAAATGTTCGATGTCTTGGGACTGCCGTGTTGCCCTTGTAAAGAAGCAGTGTTTCTCAGACATGCATTAGCCAAGGGAACTGGGGGTGTGGAAGAAGCATGTCCTCTTTATACCAGCCCTTTTTAGCTGCTGTGATTTCAGAGCACAGCTCAGCTGCTCCCAGGAGTCACAAGCTCCTGCTCTTGCTTTCTGCTCTGTATTTTTCAACACAACTCTCTCCCTGCCCCAGCCACCCCCTTCATTCCCTGCTTGGCTCACCGGGCTATGTTCTTCAGGAGTGGGTGTGCAGGGCACTCTCCTCTGATGAGGCTTACGTGAAAGCAGCTCATAGATGGAAGGGGTGTGTTGATGTGTGTTTTCTGAGAATTGTTTACTCAGACTTTAAGCTCTTCCAGAGATCTCCTATGACAGTTTTGCTGAGCCCTGCAGTCCTGGATTTCCCTCCCAAACTCTTGCTAAACATTGTTCCTAAGTGTTTTGTGCTTACAACAAACATGGCATGTTTATTCCTAGTGTGGGCAGAGTCGGTGAGAGTGGAGGAGCACAGCTCTCCATGCCATTCCCCAGCCTGGTCACCATGTGAGACAGGCACATGGCTATTTATGGTTCCCTTAATATTAGGATCAAACTTGTAGTCTGTTGCTCTTGGATTCATTACTGCCCAATGTGATATATAGCCTTTAATATACCCTTTGCTATTCCCCCCTCCCCGTTATCATCCTCCACTGCACTGTCCGGTCTAAAGCAAACACTCCAGGGCAGATGCCTATTGCTTTGTCTGTACCGTGCTCTGTTTATTTTCACTTCAGGTTGTGTTGCTCCGAATTCTCTCCCCACTGGCTGACTTCTTTCTTGTGCTGAGGTGCCCTGTTATGTTGCTGTCTGTGTTATGCATGTTCTTTTGTTTCCAGTCAGTAATCTCTGTGGGAAATGCAGGCCGAGGGACACTGACCTCCTGCAGCCATCCTTGAATTTTCTGTACTGGAGCCTTCATCAGACAACACCTTGTAGCCAACAGAGAGGTGAGGCAAGATTGCATTGATTGCTAAGTTAATCTTAGCGAGGTTGTAGCTTGGCCATCAGAGACTGTATTCTAACTGTCTCAGCAGGTAAGGTGGATTTTTCCCCTTCCCAACTCAGCATTACAGTTAACAAAGACCATTTTGTATTCAGGATGAGATTTTTTAGGTTGGGGGTTTTGTTTTGTTTTGTTTTGGTTTTGGTGCCTTCTGATGATCCTGTTGAGAGAGAACCACTGTATTTTTCTCGTCCATAAAACACAACAGTGGGGCTTTCCTGCCTTGTTTGAAATGTCCTGGTATTGCCAAGGTTCAAAAAATTAAACAATAATAGAGAACAGCTCTAACCAACCTTCCAGCTGTGTTAGCTGAAGGCTGGTCATTTTATTAGCTGGCCAAGCAGTCTCTTGTGCTGTGGGAGATGAATACCAGCATAGCTGGACAGCTGTACTCTGATGAGCCATGGCAGCTGGGGCTGCCTCACTGCAGCAGGGGTGTGCTCTGCACTTCTCTTCTGCTTGTCAAGCTGGTTTAACCTCTGCCATCTCATCAGCCTCTCTGATTATTTTTCTCCCAAGCAGCAGTGGCTGTGCTGCTCTCCAACGTGTCCTTGCTAGAGCTCCTGCAGAAGGTTTTGGAGCGCACCTGGTTGCGGTCCCCTCCCTCTGAACCTGCTTACCTATCATCTGAGGATGCCTTGCTGTGCTCTGGATGGCTGTTGGTTGCATCCCTCTTACTTTATCAGCATCGCTACAATACTGAGGTTAGAACCACTCTAATGTTCAGATCCAGGGAATGGCTAAACCTTAAAAAAAAAAAAAATCTTCATTAGCAGAGGGAAGTGTTTTGCTTTGTCCTGGAATCTGCTTGCCTTGATTGCTCTTTTGTTATTGTCCACAAGTTATTCCCTGATGCTCTTCTCCAGCAGGACTGGAAGCTAGCCTGTTGCTGAAGGTTGAGACCCGAATCATTGGAGAGTTAGAGAGGGGCAGAATTCCGGGGGAGAAAAGTGCATACCCAGCCCTACTGATCCAAATCACTTTCCTCTTCAGGACAGAGCAAAATACATTTTAAGGCCTTTCTCAAGGGAAGGCTGTGGGTGGGATACACAGCTCCCATGTTGTAAGCTGCTTTTTTGGTACTAAAAGGATCAATAGTGGAACAGTCACAATCCAAACCTACTATTGGCAAGTAAGTGTTCAATATTAGCAAGCTCATATGAATGTGGGCAGCTGTCATTGTATTTGATGCTTCGCAGTCCGACAAGAGAGCTAAGCTGGAGTTGTCAGCTGATGTTGGAATTACGACTTTGAGGGAAGCACTTTCTAATGCCAACACAAGGGGATAACATTTCCTTTTGAAGAATCTACCCAGGCCTCTCTCCCTCTCTTGATAAGGAGTTAAACAGCATGTCATGTGTTGTGAGCTCTGCTCTTGCAGTTATGCCCATCAGAGTATGTACTTTGGGAGTCAGTGCACCTATTCGCAGATCTTACACACATGTCCTTAATGTGATTTTATCTGCACAGAGAGGCGAGGGTTGATTCTTCTAATGCTGAGGGAAGGCATTTTCCAAAAGGCCAGCCCAGACCAAGTGTGCACCTGTTGCTTCATGGGTGTGCTGCCTCTGCTTAGGTCTTACAGCATGGGAGTGTTTTATGGACCGTCAGCTGTGTGAACACATAGCAAGACCTGCCTGTCCCTGCTTTGTTAACTGCTGAGCACTATTTACCTTCTCAGTTTCCAAGTCAGGGCTATGTCTGGGTGGTCAGTGTTGTGCCAGTCCCCAACGGGATTAAATTCTAGTGGCTAGTGTTGAGCTTCATCTTTGGGATTGACTCTCTTAGCTCATATTGATCCTTGAAGTGCAATCATTTAGTCGCTTCTTGTTTGGCTTCATCAATACTTTACTGACTTGATGTGCTATGACCTGCAATCCAGAATCGTTCTTGCAGCAGACATGGGGAAAGAAACTACAGATACAGGTAGCAAATGGAAGTGGTTCAAGGATGCTTCAGCATTTCTAAGCTTCAGTGTTTCTAATCTGCTGAAGGGGAAGGAGAGGATAAGAGGAAGACTCACTTCTTTTGCTGCTTTCTGCAGCTTAGTATAGCTGAAGCTGCACAAAGCAACCTGGAGGCCCTTGTAAGAGAGCCTTTGGCCTTTGTGCCTGTGAATATGAGCTGATGCCAGGCTGTCTCCCCAAGCCTGCAGTTTTTTAGAGGGGATCAATGGCTCTGAGAAATGGCTAAATTCATTTCAGGCTGGTGTTAATAGTGAGGACTTGTCTGGCCAGTGCAAGCTTGCTTATTAACTGTAACTGGCTTTAGTAGAAGCCTGTGGATAAACATGGGTCATGGATGGTAGGCTATTAAAAGCTTTAGCTTCTCAGTTCTTAGACAAGTAACCACCACCACCCTATTGCAGGAGGTACTCCTAGGTCTCCTATTGAACATTTCTCTCTTCAGAAGACAGTTTGCAGGAATCAGCCCTGTGGTCCTTATGCCTGCCCTCCCTTGCCAACTCTCTGCCTTACTGAGGAGCTTGAACCCTTCTGGGGCTCTGTGAGGCTTTACGCCATCACTGCTGAATGGCTGCTCTGTGAGGAAAACAGTGTATTGCAGGCTGCCCTCTCAAGCCCACCTTTCCTGTTTCCCCTAGTTCCCAAGTACCTAACCTCCTCTGCCTCCTTCACCCATGCCATATTTCCTAGCCTTGCAGGCTTCCCAGCTCAAGCAGGCAGGGCCAGATTCTTGTCATCACTGCTGGCTTTTGGCTGCCAGGCTCCTCAGTCTTGCTGACTGGCTGTGGGGCTAAGCTGTGTTTGGTGATGGCTGTTCCTGCTACTGCATGTGCTCAGCAGTCTGCCAGCCATGTGCCAGAGGGCCTGCAGGGAGTAGCGAGTGCGAGACAGGCAAACGAGTTGCACTGTGCTTTGAAAGCTGTGCGGGGCTGGCAGCTGGTGGTGAGCGAAACTTGAGGGCCCAGTGATGTGACTCTCCCTTCTGGATCAGACTCCTGAAACCCTGTTGCTGTTCCCTTGTTTTTTAATGGTCATCATGGGGTGGTGTCTAAGGACTAAAAGTATGTAAGGGAACTTTTTACCTGGTCCACACCAGCACCATTTATTCCCTTGTATTTCGTTCTCCTCTAGGTTCACCAGAGACTCTCTCTAGACCTGACAGAAGTCCTGAATGCAGTCATCTCCAGGAAGAAGAAGCCAATCCTGCTGTTAGGTATTTTGCATCTGTTACAGGGATTTGACTGGAAGCAGCTGCTAGTACCATGCTACAGGCAACAACGGAGAACTGGTGGCTATGGGATGGGATGGTGCAGGTGCTGGTGGGAATCTGGAAGCTTTGGTCCATTTGGCTTTGGGAGTACGTAACTGGTGGTAAGAAAGGACAAAAAGGAACTGTCTGGAGTTCTGCTGTGTTTGGACAAATTTTCTTTGGAAGTTCGTAGTGACATCTGGAACTGAGCGTGAACTTGGGATAGTGTCTCACGGGGAGGAGGTGAACAAGGAAACTCATGTTGCCATTCCTGCCTGCAGCTGTCAGCAGCTGCTGGGCAACTCCAGTGGGCCCTTAAGCCCGAATTTTCTCTCCTCACCCTCTCCCATGCTGTTGCACAGGCACCAACACACAGGGCAGGGGAGGGGAAAACACTGACACACACTAATAAGCGGCTCCCTGTCTAGTGAGCATCATGCAGTTCCTGAGAGCTGTCCTGCGACAGAACTTCTCCTCCTCTCTGCTGGTGAGCGTTGGCCAAAACACAGCCCAAGGTGCTACGCAACCACAGCCGTCGTCACTGCAGGATGCTGCCTTGCACCCCCTTACCATGCAGCAGGTCTTCTTGCTTGTTGTCAGTCTGCAGAACCTTTTGGTGCACGTCCAGTTGCAGGTATATAAAATACAACTTCTGGAACAACACCGGTGTTGTTGGGCTTCAAGCAGGTACACTGACCTGAGGAGAAACCACCCTGTTGCAGAACCTAAGGGGCTGCCTTTTTTTTCTTCTGCCTGCATTTTCCACCCCTTACAGACGTGTGATGGGGAGGGAGAATGCTCTTACTGCAGCATGGCGCAGTGAGAAAGAAGGTAAATCAAGCTATGCAGTACTCCCTGCTGCTGAACTGGATATCTGAAATTCTGTGTACTAATGACGATCTCTGTTTTCCCATCTCCTGCTCTGCAGGGATGCCGCACCCATAGGGACAGAGGTGGGAAAAGTGTAACAAATCCCAGTCCCTCCCCCCACACCCCTGGCAAGGTGCTTTGGGAGGTACTACATCAGTGTACATTTAACTTGCTCAAGTGATGGCAGGCTCCAGGGGATAGTACATCAGTTTACATTTAACTCTCCCGAGTGATGCTGGGCTCCCATCTTTATTCTTTGGAGGCTGTTACTTAATTTTTTTTTTTTAGTTTCAGAATAAGTAGTTGTGCCTTTGTCTGGCTCCTTGACGTGACAGGTAATTTGCAGCACGTTGTGTCCTGTGAAGGAGATGAAGGGTGCTATTTTCCTGTGCTGCATGCTCTTCAGATCTTGCCACTTTATGAATTTGCCTCTTGTAATAGCTGTTGGCTGGTTTTTTTCTTCTTTTTTTCCCACTGTTGGTATTCCAGAAAGACTTGCTGCTCTCTCAAGCTGTGGTTGCCTGCCTGGAAACCTTAGTGGAATACCTGTATGTGAAGGACCAGGATGTTGGTAAAGTCTTCCTGCTCTTTCTTCTTCTGGGTTTCCCTCCTGCAGTGATTTTCAGCTCTTTGATCTCCATCCAGTAGTGCCCTGGAGCAGATGCTTAATGAGTTTATGCCCGATAAGAAAAATTATTTGTATGCCTAAAGTTAATCATGTGCTTTGTGGGATGAAGTCACAGTGCCTGGCTCCCCTGCAGGCATGAGCCCTCACTTTGGCTCTGGACACAAAGATACTTTCCAGAAGGAAAAAAGTCATTCCCCACCCCCCCATATGGTAAGAGTGAAAGGTTTAGGAATGGAGGGAGTATAGGAATAGTCTTTCACTTCCAGGCCAATTGTAGTAAACCTTTAGACCATAAATTTAGGGGCGGGAGGATCTGAATATGATGCGTCTTCCACATGGATAGTGTTGGTCCCAGTTTGGCCCTGAGGGAGGGGAAGGGAGAACAGGGTACTAGGCAGCCTTAGGGAATGGAAGCTGGAAATTCTAGATTTCCAGGGGTGAATGCAGACCTTGGTTTCTGGAGTCCATGTTAGACCTAATGTATACCGTGTTGGCAATATAATGTAATATGACAGTATTGTACTGTCGGGAGGAAAAATAGACCCTTCTGCTTATAGTCAGCCTCCTGCCACAAAGTCCAGGTGCTGGCTCTGATGTTAAAACAGACAGAAAGTTCTCTGAACCCAGACTTGTTCAATTCAGTCATTTAAACACTGAGAGAAAAGGGGATGGAGTGAATGAACACCAGACAAAAGGGACTTTGGTGGGAGAGAGGAAATGGTTGAATGAAAATGTAATACTGCAGATGAATGACAGCCAGTAGCTGCAGGGAGGCTATTAAAAGGCTGGGTTAAAAAAAAAAAAAAAAAAGGTGGCATGTTATAGGGAGGTTCTGCTGATTTGGGATTAAGCTAATGAAACGCTGCTTCAGCAACAGCTGAACCTGTCACTTTGGCTGCCTAAATTCTTGCTGTGGTGCAGAAATTCACAACAGCAATAACAGGAGTCTCCTTATGCCAAGCAGAATGAGGGTCATAGCTATGTTTGACTGAAAGATGCGAGAAGACTGCAAAGAGTGTGGCCTGGACTCTGCCTCTAGGAGTTCGCCTCATTTGAGGCTTTCGAAAACCCTCTCTTGGTCCAGAGATTTTTTCCCAGATACGCAGAGCAGGCTCAGAGCACGGTGCTGGTACGTTCTCATTTCCACCAGCTAAAAGATACCCTCCAAACATTTTACATTATTTTTTAGTGTTGTTTTCCCATAGAAAAGATTCTTGTAGTGGCAATAGGGAGGTTATGTGACTGCCAGTGGAAGAGGGACCTTTCTGAAACTCTTGTGAGTTGCCATGGTGCAACAAGTTGTATCAGCTGACCTGTTGTAATTGTCCATCCCATGCAAGAAATACATTCTAACTTGCAATAAATACAAGGTAATAACACTTAACTTCAGCGTTCTATGGGAGACTTCACGCTGTCACAGACGGTGACTTTGAGCCTTGCCTCTGTTGATCGTATGTGCTCCTTATTAAGGACATTTTCTCTACTGATTGTTTGCATTGCTGCCATCAGCCTGGCTGGTCCTCATAGTACGCACTCTGATGCAGATCCAGGCTCGGTTTGTGCAGCTAATATGATAGTCTTTCTTCATTCCCCAAAGAGTATTCTGCAGCTAAATAAAACCCGTTGTCAGGAAACTTGTCCTCATATTGAAACCAGAAGGTATTATTTTTAAAACCCTGGGCTAAAGATACCCCCTTACTATTTTATGACATGCACCCCAGGAGAAGGTTTCTCTTCCTGTGCCAGCACAAAGATGGACAAAATGTATTTTCTGCTTTAAAAAGCTATTAAGCTTTTGTCCCTATGACTAAACTCTTGCCCAAAGAGTGACAGATTAAAAAGCAAGTAAGAACAGAGCAAAATATCCCCTTAGTGTTTCACAGCATGGGGTCTAGAAGAGAAAATTTGGGGTCAGTATTGAAGACTCTCCTTATCCGGGTCCAGCCTGTCACTTGGCCGATTTTAAAGCCGTCTTTGACTGGCTTCTCCTTCTCTCCCAGCTCTACATGTTGCTTCACAGCCCTGGCACCGATTCCTGCTCTTCACACTACTCAGTGGGGGCCAGAAGTCCTTTCTACAGCCAGAAGTTCTCAGGCTGATGACTTTGGTGAGCAGGGGAAGGGCAGGCTGTTCTCCGTTTTTTCCAGTATGTTGGTACAGTGCATGTGGGTCGGTTATTGGAACTTACTCCCCACGCACACACAATCTCAGATACTGCTGTGGCTTTGTCTGTCGCTATGTTTGTGCCCTATAATAACAATACTTTCAAGTGAACTTCCCTTCCACACCCTGCAGAAACTGACTGCTGTTAGTGAACATGTCTTGTTCTTCTGGTAGCATTTATTTACATCATCTAGGACCCCTGGGGAGGAGAGGGGAAACCTACAGAGAATATGCAACTGCTGTTGCCAGTCAGGGAGTATGCTGTAGCTCTCTGGAGAGCAGAGCTCTGCTAGGCATCACAGCTCATCTCCCCGTCTTTGACCTTACAGACCTGACTTTTCAGGGCAGGGAGTCACCACAACCTACTACCCTGCCGTACTTGGGGCCTGTGAGCAAGAGAGGGAATGTGGTCCTACCCAGCAGAAATACTGAAGATAAAGCCCTCATGGCAGTGGATGAGAGGAGGGGGTTATTAATGTGAACCTTCCCTCTCCAAATACATGATGGGTCTGTGAATCTTTGTTATTCTTATTTCACTTTTTAAAGGTTACCTGATTCATTTCAGTTCCTTCCTGACCTAAACCAAAATAAGTCTGGTTATAAATCAGAGCACCGTCAACACAGATATTTACACTAGTTCTATGAGAAGTGATATAAAAATCAGGTCTGTGGTTAAGGTGCTGCAGCATCCCATTACATAGAAGAGGTCTTCCCAGGAAATGAGTCACTGTTGGAGTCTGTGACATTACATTCAGTATTTAATGCCTCTGTTTTTTCCTTTGTTCAAGTTTCTGAGGTATCAGAGCAGCAATATTATTTCTCAAAAAGAAATTAGCCAGATTCTCCAGGAGGCAGCAGAAGCCAACTTAGCAGAGCTGCCTGAGGTCACATCTCGTGCCCTTCACCTCTTCCTTTGCCAGGTAAGAGAGCTGTGACTGCCTTGGAAAATGAGAAGGGAATCCCTGGGGGATTACTTTAGCCTTTGATGGGGAGCCATACACTTCCTTTGAGGAGGTTATAGTAAGATGAAGAAGAATCCTGCAGCTGCTAGCTTGGCCTGCTGCCTTGAGGGATGTACGGTGAAATCGGAAAGAGAGTGATGCCAGCAGCTGCCTAAACTGTGTCGTCATATTGGGCGGCCCCTTGATTCCCTCCAGATCAGAGTTTGAAGGTCTCATTGCTCTGTATGGAGATGAGGAGGGGAGGTATGAAGGAACAAGCCCAACAGTTTCCTGTTGGTCTGGAAGTCCTTTTTTCTTCTGACTGCTCAGATTCAGAGCAGTCATTGCCAGGTGGAGCCAGCGCAGTCAGGGACTGTTCAGACCTTGCTGGAGCGCCTCCTGGGACAGAGGAGCACTTGTGTGAAACATCAGGACATTGTGTATCCTTTGCTGGGCAGGTGCCTTTGATAGGTGATGTGAGGGTGGTAGGTGTAACAGAGGTAGAAGGGATGCTTAATCCTTCCCTCGTTCCAGCTGAAGGCAAACAGAAGTGGAAAAACTGAGTGGTTGCTACACTTGGCTAACTTTGGGATGAAAGACTTCATCATCCCCAAATTTGAGAAGACATCTGGGAAATGAGGAGACATTTGGGATGAAAAATGAGTCTCTCTGCTGGGATTACATTCATCTGTATGGCAGAGGTGGTCTGATGAAGGGGGAGCAGGCCAGGGAGCCTGTGACTTCAAAGCAGTAACGATCCCCGTATTCATTTCCCTGGAGGATGAACAATCATTTAACCTCTGTCTGTGTGCTAACTAGCGCCAGTATGCTTGTGAAATTGTGGAAACCCAAAGATGACTTGAGCGCTTTCAAAGTACAGCGAGCATTTGGAAACTGCTGAGTGGAGTTACCAGATTGCATTCTGCTTGGCCTTACAGTCCTCTGCTTAACTGAATCCTCCTCTTCTTCGTGGACGGGAGGCAGGGCCTGCTCCCAGATTACTTGTGGAGAAAGAGGGAGCCTGATGCAGTACTTGTTTATTTCTCAAACTGTCTGCTTTTGCCTTCCTGTTTTCATCACGCCGCATTGCCTCAGATAGGTAGCAGTGATGGAAGTGGCCCCAGCAGTGATTTCCTGTTGGGGTGGGGACTTCCTCCATTGTGGGACGTTGTCATCAGCCATGTGCAGGGTATGTGGTGGGTGAGGTGCTTGTTATCCAGGAGGAGTAGCTTGTCCTAGTGCTTACCCCCAATGTGATGCTACTGCTCTGTGGTGGGACACTCGGAGCGCGAGTTGTCCAGGTGGAGACCATCCAGCCCCATGATGTTCCTCTCCACTGCATTTGCTTGTCTGTATGGGGTTGAGGGAAGGTGGACAGGAGGTCTTGTTACATTGCTAAAGTTGTTTCTCATTTCTGGCTTTTCCACATACAAAGCAGCCTTCAAATCTCGGTTGTTAGGAAGGGTTTTGGATGGGCTCAAAGTGCAGCAGTTGGTGGCTACCTGAATAAGGTAGTCATGAACATGGAAGACGAAATCCTTTGGTCAAAACCAAGCTTTGATATCAGTTTTGTCGAGAAAGAACTTTCTTCAGGTTCACCCACACTGGTGTTTCTCACACGTGGTGGTGGGGGCGTGTCCATGGCTTGGGGGAGGGTTGGTTTCATAATGAAAACTTGTCAGCAATGTGTCAAATGTGGGAATTCCAGTAGCATGCTGGAGTTTCAGCCATGCCTTCCCTTCGGTTTCCACTTCCTTCCCTTCGGTTTCCGCTCATGCTGTCAATGACAGATGTCTGGGAAACGTGGCAGTGTCCCTCTCGCACATTGGAGACTGAGATGAGAAGATGTGGTGCACGCAGCAGAGGAACAAGGCAAGAATGGAATAGGAGGGCCCATCCTGCCTTTTATTTCCAGTGAGTAGTAGAGAGAAGATGGACGAAGGAAGTAATTTGTAGCTCATTTTCAGAAAAAGGTTTGTTGACAATCATTTATAAAACCCGGTTACTGAAATGGCTCCTCCTTTCCTTTTCTGTGTGGGATGAAGCTTGGTTGCTGCTCTTCAGTTAATCGAAATACAGAACTGCCTCCTGAAAACTTCAGCCAGGACCCCCGGCGAAGCAGATAGCCGCTTGTCCCGCTGGGACGAGGAGACTTCTTCCAGTTCACGGATGATCCCCGAGGCTACAGCCCCAGACCCCCGGCTGCCTGTTGCCTCCAAACCCTATAAGCGCCCCTTTCTCCTCGGGGCTTCAATTAACGAGAGGTTCCTTCCCTTGCAGAACCGGGGGAAGCCCTCCCGCGACGGGACCAGCCCCGGGGGGAGGCGGCGGCA